GCGACATTTTTCGAGCATCGATTATTATTTGTAAATGCAGCTGCAACGGTCTGATTGGATGGTTGGGATTCAGAATGGGATTTCGGTTACAAAACCATTGGATACATTTGGAGTTGCTTACACGGGCTAGAATAGCAGAAAACGCATTTGCGGTGGTTAGATTTTCAAAATTTTCTCCGGGAGTGTGAGGCCCCCCCCATACCCCGCGACGATTGATTGGTTGTTTGGAATTCGGGTCAGCCAGGTAGGCTATATTGGACCAAATTGAAGTTGCTGTATTCACAGACTGGAATAGCAGGAAAACGCGTATGCGGCTGTCAAATTTTCTCCAAACGGTCCCGTCTCCGTGGACTGTAAACGATTGATCTTTTGATTGGAATTCGAGTCAGCCATCTTAATTACTAGGCTATATTAGACCACTTTGAAGTTGCTTTGTTCACGGGCTGAAATAGCAGGGAATTATATTTGCAGCCGTCAAATATTCAAAAATTTTCTTGGAGGGAGCTCTGCTTCTTCGCCTCTTGAGGAAGATCGGCGCCGCTGTCTGTACACCGAAAATTATTTCGGGTTCTGCCCCCCTAACTGTCATCGAGCCAGTACGCCTATGTCAAGCAATGATCAATAATGAATAATAACCTTACATTTATAGTACATCCATGAGTAAAAACAAATTAACAATCAAATCATAACATTATATGATTAATAAGACTTATAACAACAACCATTTCCCTTTAAATAAGTATATGACTTCACTATCTCTCTTAAATATACATGTAATAAACGTTGCATGTAATAAACTAAGAAGTAGTAAATCCATAAAGTTGTGTTATTATGAATATTATACCTCTACTTCTAAATGTCATTCAAGGAACATAGCTAATAAATGATTTTTGTCCAACTCGCCTTTTTTGACGGAACACAATTTGTGTGTATGTGAGGGGCGACATAGCCTAGTTAACTGTATTTTCTAAAACTATGTCACTGACAATCCATCTTTTTCTGTCCCATATCTCTTTTTTAAAGAAAAAATTCTCAGTTTACAGACACAGAAAAACGATCAGATTCAGAATTAATGTTAAATAGACAATAGAACCAATTTTACACACTCTGATTTTTTAAAATTTAATTCTAGAAATGATGTCTTAAGTTCATTATAAGAAATTATTATACTTGTATTTTTTATGCTCAGTGCCATCGCCTGTTAGATATACAAATGAATCATCAAAATAATATATTCTTGAAAAAAAAGATAGTGAACTAACATCTATAACCAATTTTGTCATTATTGTAACATTTTGACTTATATCCACATGACAAATGTATCTGTTTAAATTACAATAAATATCACAAATACATAGGTGAAGACAGTGTATACTATATGTAGGGAAAAAGTTAATGTCTGCTAGTACCATGTAATATGGTTATTTTATGGATCATTGCACTACATTGCCTGTACTAAATGAATACTGTGGACATAATTCTAACTGGTCGTTATTTGTTTAATCAAACACATGTCTATAGATCTTGATGATGGATGGATGTCTTCGTTAATTAACTCAAACGAGCTGCTTGTCCTTCACGATTCTTACACTGGCTTCTCTTTCTTTCTGTTATCTTGACAGTGTTGTCATTAACTGCCAGCAACAAATTGATTCCAAGTTGATGAATATTCATCTGTGGAGTAGTAAAAGAGCTAGTGGACTATGAAATAATGAAGTATGATTGTAGGGAATTGTCAGTTGAGATTCGTAGCTGGATTACTTTCTTCCCAATAACATCACTCTTCTACTCAACTATATAATTATATTAAGGCTGCATAATAAAGTAACTGATATATTTTTATATCCAGTAATGCATTACCTAGTATTGATTGTACCAACAAGCTAGTTTAATGTATAAAATGTCAGTCACAAATTTGGTTTTGTAGAAGACATGTATTTACAGTTTGGATCAATCCATCCTGGAACACTTTGAATGGAAAGAAATTTCACTTTGTATGATTCGTAGAACGATGGTTGTCATATGAACATTTCAGATGACATGCTTTACTGATATGTTTCCTCATTAGTTCAGAGATGAGGAAAGACTCGCCGCCCTCTAATTCAAAATGTTAGCTACACCAATGTAGTTCTATCCTATCAGAAGAATCTGTAGGTAGGTATTTTGTCATGATTTTGACTGAATGGTACTTGGCAATATATATCACTATCACTACCTTCATTGATGAAGTTTTTTTCTAACCTAATTAGATGTTAGTTATATTTTGTGAAAATCAGACCAAAACTTCTGGACAAAATGGACGTCCCTTGTACGCAAATAGTGTAAATATATGAAATATCAAGGTTTAGGACCCTCTAGAGGACACAATTTTGATCCTATTTGGATGAAACTTGAAATGCATGTTTATAACCCCAAGATCTTGGTTCCTTCCGATATTTGCGCATATCGGATTGTAACTTCCTGAATTATGGCCCCTGATTTTATGAAAAATCGCATATTTAGCTTGTAGACCTGCTAGAAGTCACAATTTGTATTCAATTTTAAAAAACATTTAACTGTATCACCATTACAAATCAATGAAGGTTGAGTTCCAATTTTGTACAAATCTGACCAAAACTGATGGACAAAATGGCCGCTCCTTGTACGCAGATAGTGTAAAAGTATGTATTATCAAGGTTGTGGGCTCTCTAGAAGTCACAATCTTTATATCCAAAATATCTTGGTCCATGTCGATATTCACGCATTTCAAGCCATAACATTCTGGATTATGGCTCCTGATTGTATGAAAAATCGCTTTTTTTTTTTTAGTTTGTTCTCTATCCATTCTATTGCAAAGTGTGGGCGTATCTTGCCTGGCAACCGCTGGTTAAAATAAATATTGATGACAGGGTATAGTTCTTAAATTTATAGTCTTAATATATAGCTCCATCCAGAATTATTTCCACTTCGATTGTTATTGTGTATACAGTGTTACAGGTCAAACAGAGATTTACATACATGTTTGAAATGAAAAATATAACCTTCACTTTCTATTGGAAATAATTCCAAGACTGCGACTAATAAACTTCTTACTAAAGTAGTAATAGTAGTAGTGGGTGGAAGAATCCCAGGAACAGTGCAGGTCAGCGTGGATCTGATTGATCCTGTAAGGGCAAAAAGGAAGCAGTCCTTCAAAAATAATTCCAAAGTAAAATCCCCTTGCAACACACACTCGACAAGACTGTTGTAGAATACTGAAAGTTTTTATTCAGGATGCTAGGAGATTTTATTTTAGGATTATTCTATTGGAATGTGCAAAATAACCAGTCTGTCAATTATACGATATATAGACAGCATATAACCAGATGGCCAGTTATATGATAATGATATGGACAGTAAATATTCCGACAGCCAGTTTTATGATATAGACAGCAAATATTCAGTAAGTTATATGATATAGACAGCAAATAATAACCAGACAACCAGTTATATAATATAGACTGCTAGTTATATGATATAAACAACAAATAGTCACACAGTCAGTTATAAAATATGATTTTGAAAGCAAATAGCCAAACAGCCAGTAGACAGCAAATAATCAGGCAGTCAGTTATATGATATAAACAGCAAATAATCAGTCAGTCAGTTATATGATATAAACAGCAAATAACAAGACAGCAAGTTATACAGTATAGACAACAAATATAACCAGACAACCAGTTAGATAGATAGTCGTTACTAGTTTATTCACACCAATATTTATTGACTAAAGTGATCGAGTCTAAGAAAAATTAAGAATTTTTACGTCTAAGCAGTGAAAGAGATACCAAAATATTTACTACACCATTGTTCTATTGTGTAAATGTTTAATATTCGTTACACAGTCAATATATAATCTTAAATAGGTCGACAGACTGTACACAAGCATAAATGGCTATAACCATTGAAAAATATCTTTGTAAATATTTAAATAATTAATAGTTGAGTGTGAATGAAGCTGTCACCTCTTCTTATACAATTTTCTGTAAATTACTTCTAGAGTTAAGGCCCTTTTTCAGTTTGTAGAATCCTCAAACGCCAAAAATTATAATCTGATCTGTATGAAATTGTCTTGTAAATGCCCCCAATTACCTACAAAAGAATAAATATGTGTCAACCCTTGTCGACCACTCAGACGATTTAGCTACTGTGGGCGTATGTTTTGTTGCCTGGTAACCTATCTTTTTAGCTTGTTCTCTATCCATCTCTTGCAAAATGTGCGCGTATCTTGCCTGGCAGCCGCTGGTTCATTGGTTTATTTATTATCAAAACATAGTTTTATTATACAACTGATCTATCATCGTATTAGTCGGTTACATCTAGTAATCTGTGTAGTCATGTGTGTTAATTAGTTCTCCAATATTTGTTATAAACAAAGGGCTGTACTTTACCAATTCTGAATTTGTCAATTTTAACGCTTTTATGATTTATTTTATATATTAAAACTTTAAAATTAATTATTTCAGCAATTATCTTTGTACAGTATTAATTTTTAATCTGCCTAATCAGAAATCTGACTTTTAGTATTTTTATTTTCAATGAAGTGCGACTAATAGTAAGTGCAGGGGGACTACACCACACACAAACAATTACACAAGGCAAATTTATGGACAAGACATATTACGTAAATATCAGATCAAGTGAATGGGTCTACTGCGCTATACAGTTCTGGGCCTGTAGACCTGCTGCGTACAAACCTTAGATTGTAGTAGCACACTATTAAATGCCAAGCAGCTTCCCATTTTTCACTAAAACAAATGTTACGGTAGTTAGGGGGATTGGGCAATGTTCTTATTTATTCTCAATATATTTTGTTGATGCAGGAGATCCAAATGAAACAGCCCCAATAACTGACTTACTTAAATCCTGTTGATAGTATAAATAGTTGAATAGAAAATAAAATAATGATCATCACCTGTATTAGATATATTAATATTAAAATGTTTATTTGGTAACCAGTATTTTGTTGGCTTATTTTACAGTTCTGTGTCATCATGGGGTGCTGGGGCTAGTGGTAACAAAGATTCTAATGCAAGTGGACCTCAGGTATACCAATAACATTTTGATATGTAATATACAGTATAAAAACACATTTAACAAACTAATTCTGCCACATTTCTTTTTGATTGAGGTAATACTACATGCAATACATTTATAAACATGCAACATAAACAAAAAGAAATACAGTAGTTTGTCTATAAATTTCAATAAAGTCATAGTGATACTTATAAAAGTGATATTTTTATTTTTATTTCAGTCTCCAAGCCATACAAATACTAGTTTTACTAGTGATGTGGAGCAAGAATATGGTGATCTCTTAACAAGAATGGGTGGCATGCAACAAAACTCCTGGCAACTTGAAGAAAAGGTAAATATATTCAAAGAAAACTGTTCATATTTATGTCCGTTGCTTTATATATCAAAAATTATGTATTGAAAAAGTTGGCAATATAGTCAAACTAAATTATGTTCCTAATATTTCCAGCATGTTCCTCAGTGATTTTCTTTCAGATAAACCTTGTTAGTCTCAGGGTGACTTAACCAATATGCTGACAAGATATTAAACATGTCTCATTATGCAATATTATATATTTTGAAGGTGGCACATCTTGAAATGAGCAATGCTTGCATGGCAGAAGATATTTTACGCAAAACAGCTATCATAGAACATTACGTCATGGAGAGTAGACCAGGTCAGTCAAAAATAATAGACGTTTGTCACTTTTCATTAAAAATTATCCATAGCTATTTAAAATTGATTTGAATTCTAGTTTGGTGTTCCAATATAATTCTGCATAGTAAATTAGTAATATTTATTGTATATATGTTTTTGTTAAGTTTGCTTGTAGCCTTTGGTTTAAAATTTAATGTGGAACTGTTTAACTACCAGTATCAAAGATGTCTATAATAGATGCCTATAACAATTCCGAATTCTTCAAAAATTCTTGAACCAGGCTTCTATTCACTGCGGACTACCGATCATCTAGTTACTGTATATGATGTTTGTGATAAACAGTTGTTTAAATGAAATTTTTTCCTCGTTTTAGATCATCGTCGACTTAGTAATCACCATCCACATGAAGATAAAATATCATTAAAGAAAGTTCTAGATCTCGTTAATAAAGGTGAAGACAATGAATTAAAAGATATGAACAAAAAATTACAGAATATGGTGGAAGAAACACTCACTAAAAACATGCATCTTCAAAAAGTAAGTTGTTTATAAGACTTTGACTGTATTTTGCCATCCCCTGGACTCATTTCTCTATAAAAATTCAAATATGGCATACAACAATAACTGCTATAAAGACTGATATAAATCTCTGTTGAATCATCTAATATAGACCATGAAGGTGAGGTAAATGATCATTGTGTTATACGACACAAAATAAAAAAAGTCTTAAAAACATTCTGTATTAAACATTGATAGACTATAGAAACATCTTCAGCTAGTGTATTAAAGAGCTTTATAGATACTATTTATAACACCAAGTATGCATTAATTGTAGAAACTCATGTAAGACACCACCATATATACCGTGAATGCCCTTTCTGATCCGCAGAATTTAGGAAAAATTGATATTCTTCTTGTCATGAAGTAAGCACCTGAATCAAGCTGTGTATAGACCTATAAGAACAGCAATACGTCCATTGTATTTATCCAGTGTAATGTTGATTGTTTAATAGATATTGATTTTATATGCATTTCTTTATATATTTGATACATGTAGGCTATATAAATAAAATTTTAATCCGATGAATTTATTTGAAAATTGACCAACTCAAAAAGCGAAAGAAAATAATTTACATGGTACGCATGGTTATCCAAAGGCTCTTCAAAAATATAAAGCATTAGCTGCGCTTTGACTTCTCTTTTCGGGAAAATATTAAAACAAGCAATGGTTAAAGCGGCTATTAGAAGTTGATTAACCGCTAAATCAGAAGTTATTGTTGTTTGTGAAAAGAAATCGTAAAGTTCTTTGATGTATGCATTGGGTATGATTTGTCGTTGGACAAAGACGGGGAAACTGTCATATTATTTTACAAATTATTGCAAAAAATCTAAATTGAAAGCGAGAGTGTGGCTGACATAAACACTGCTAATGATATTGTACTATATTGTAACAGGAAGTAGAGTTTGGCTGCATTGCATCATTTTTTCAAATAATTTGAATGTGCTAGAAATCTCTATCTAAATAAGTATCTAAAATACAAGGCTTGTCCAGCCAGGTAAATCTAATGATTCAAGATTGACCATTGCTTGGTTATCAGTTTTAATAAGAGTTATTTCCCTTATATCTTTTTGTTTATAATATACATGTATTTCAACACAAATGAGGGTTTACTTTACAAGTGAATGAACACTCTCAACTGAATAAATGTAATTATTTGCATTTCTTGGAATAATTTTTCTGGTAATCTGCAAATGAAGAATAAAAGGATACCAGTTTTATTTCTTATGGTTTATTGTGTCAAAGAATGTTACTTGGGACAGGAGATCTATGAATTTTAGTAGCTGCTTTTACACCCATCGCATGTTGAGTATGGTAGTATATTGTCAGAATCCCTGTCTGCTGGTAGATTCAACCACAGTTTATAGCCTATTTGTAACCACTTTACAGACTTGATCAATTTTTATAAAATATTCAGGTGTATACTCATCTTATGAATGTTCTGTAATAAAAGTTGGAACCAATCTGTTTAAATGTCATGCATGGTTCAGATTAGTGTGACAAAAAAGTTCATTACATTTCAACAATTTCTGTTAATTATGTCTAAAGTTACAGCTCTTGCTGACTTTGTACAATCTTGTGCACTCTCTAGCATTCAGTAAATGTGGTCCTTGATATACTTGAAGTAGTCTAAAATTTCAGCAATTTCTCTAAACTTGTCTTTACTCAACTTGAGAAATCTGGCAACAATTTCTGTTGATAGTTACATCATATTTTGTAACATTCAGTATTGTCTCTCTCCTTTTCATTTTCATTTCATTGATACATCCTGTTCATATTTTGTTTTGGAGTACTTTGGGGTTGCTGTATTTAATTAATATAATATAAACATTTATTCCTTATTTTGATCTGTACCTATTCTCAGAAAGATTAAAAATATCCTGACTTGATTCCCCACCTCTCCATAATTATTATCCATTGTCTGCAGGCTCAGCACAATGGAACAGAATAAATCCATGTAACAGCAAAGGTTAAATCTATGTAAATCATTGTATATCGGGTTGACCTTGATATTATTAAAGAAACATAAGTGCTTATGGAGGTCCGGTGTGCCATTGTTAAAAAGACAATTTTTGATCTAATGTGAATTGACTCAATCTGATTAAAACACAGATCCTATATCTTTTCGTATTTTATAGTTCAAATTTTCATTTTACTTGCCTTTACTGCACAGGATCTGGAAGAGTTGTTATATAACCCGCGTTTTGGATGATGTGAGGGATTAGCCAATGAAAGCATCTGTTGCTGTGAGTTTTTGGCGTGAGGTGCACGGAACTGTGGGTAACCCACTAGAAATATCAACGCTGATTGGTTAACCAAATGTCTGATGTCACAAGGTCAAAGGCCATTTGTATGACCTCTGACGCAACCTTCCACTTCAGTGATAATGCCTCTTTAAACTTTGGCAATAAAAATCTAGCACAACAGATCCAAAGTATTCAAATATTGAGACCTACAGGCAAAATCAAATAACAAAACGGGACACGCCACATGCGAAAAATCCTGAATGGAAAGTGTTACCAGGTGTTCATAAGAAATTTATACTTATTAGCAGGACGCCTAGTACATGATAAACATTTTATATTTGATAGAATTTTGATGAATAGGTCTAAATCTGAATTAATTGTAACATATCTCATGTATTTTGATTAACATTTTTTGCTAATCAATATGTTCTAATTCGTTTTCCTTATTTTTTTTTTAAAATGGTACTGGTTAATTTGAGCCATGCTTGCACATCTTATTTAAAATGTTGATTGACAGAAATGAAATATTTTTTGAGAAGTAAAAAAAATTAATGATGGGAATCAATGAACTTGTGGGTTGTACATTTGCTGGTTGCCTACAGATAAAAAAAATCTCTCCTATTGAACTTAATTCAATCAGAGAGACATTACTTGAGGCATTTCATTCATTACTTGATTGAAAGATGCTTTGAGAATATTCATTTTATTGAGGAAAAAAAAGGTCTGTACAAAGTCTTTGATTGGTAATGCATGGTATTGAAGATTTATTACAGTTACTATGGCAACGGTAGATAAGATTAACATGTTAAGATAAAGTAGAAGTCCATATAGTATAGTGTGATAAAATTGTGATATAATTTACCCAAATATAGTCAATGGCTGTATAATCTATAACTATGAGATTAACATAAAGAAACTAATTTTTGGAAGCAACCAATCTAAGACTTACTCAAATCCAAATGCACTTGTTCAAGATATTTTTAGGTCAAATTAGCTGTTCAAGATCCTTGTCACATCTTTCTTTTCACCCAATCAAAATTGGACTTTCAGATCAATTGTTGGCATGAAGCTGGTTAATTATAGATGTAAATAAGCTGGCTGTTATAAAATGGTTTCATTACACACCCCTCTTATCACAAAAACACAATATAATCGTCAAGTCTTGTAACCACAGTAACGGACGTCACATGAATGTCATATCAGATTAAATAATTTTACTTTTGTCTGTACTCAAAATGTCTTGTCTTATATATGTGTACGGAAATAGAATCAAGTCTAGTGTGACATTAACTTTTTTTTCTTTCCCTTTTATTTATGGTGTATATTGTCAGGGTTCTGGTTTAACTAAGTTTAATCCATGATGACTGCCAGTTTCGAGATTTCACAAAAATCAGTATCGCTGCCATTTAAATCAGACAGACGAACTGGGAAATTCACTTGCAGGTTTGACAATAAGATAGGACGATGATGAAATCCTAGCTTTATATGACATGTTATAGTGAGTTACTACTTCTGACTATAGATTTTAAGATAGTGATACATGCTATTACTGGAAGCTGAATTTAGACCAATCGGTTATTTAAACAAATTCTAGCAGTAGAAGAGAGCTGATATAGCCATGTTATTATTGATTAACCTATAATGGAGAGATGAAAATAAAACCTAAGCTACCACTGGCCAGTGATATCACACCAACGATCTGATTACCACTTGTTTCAATGACAGCTTTCCAATTTAAATCCTTCTGTTGTAAAAAAAAAAAGAAAGTTCACAGACATTCAATATAAATTAGGTGCACCCATTTTTTAAAAGTACTTATTTGTTTTGTTGATTTTAATGTCGATTTTGCATTTTAGGAATTAACATAGTGTAATTCTTTAGGAATGAAACTAGTCGACAGGAATAGTTAAAGTAGCTTTTAGTCTCTAACACAATATCATCCAAAGTCTTCGACATTGAAAACACAAATTATTTGTCAATTTAAATCAACATTGATGTTCTGATCTTTCTGGGAAAAGATGGGCTTTTGATATCCAGTATGTAAGACAAAACAAGCATTTTACCATTGGTTCACGAATCGTTTACCATAATGTGTAACAGCAGCATTTGTAACAAGGAATTCGAAGAACGTGGCTAGACATATTCCACAAGTCATGTCAAACGGTGACGTCATATTCTTATTTCGAGAGCATGCACAATAAATACTATCGGCGTAGACTGGAATAACCAGACGCAAGAGATTGCCATTTGATTGAGATTTCTGGCATATTTCGCTGAACATAACTGATTAGAAATTACAGTAAAAACAGAAACGATTGAATGTTAATCAGTTCATATACATTCATATTACATTATTATATGTGTGGCGACACACTTGTATCAATTTCTAGGTCTTAAATATTAACAATTTAGCTCCTTTAAAGTATCAGAAATGTATACAGATTCTAGGAATAGGTCTTCAACACTACTATTACAACATTTGTACAACTATATTTATTCCCTAAGCTTATATACCTCTCCAATTAATGATTTATCAAATTCTTTTGGTCATGGGGTTTAACATCCTCTTCCTCCAAGTGTGATATTTGAGACAAGATTTATTTAACATACATTTATCTTTTTATATCCAAATTACCTACTAAGAAAGTGTTGACATAAACATGTAATTATTAATTATTGAAAGATTAGATTGAGCGAGAAAGAGAGATAAAGAAATGGGATTACTGTCCACT